AGTTTTTAGATTGTGAAACTTTTTGTCAGAGATAATAACTGTTTAACTTTTTAGATTGTAAGTATTTTTGTCAGAGATAATAACAGTTTAGTTTTTAGATTGTAAGAAGTTTTGTCAGAGATAATAACAATTTAATTTTTTTTAGATTGTAAGAAGTTTTGTCACAGATAATAACAGTTTAGTTTTTAGATTGTAAAACTTTTTGTCAGAGATAATAACAGTTTAGTTTTTAGATTGTAAATCTTTTTTTCAGAGATAATAACAGTTTAGTTTTTAGACTGTGAGAAGTTTTGTCAGAGATAATAGCAGTTTTGCTTTTTAGATTGTAAAGAGTTTTGTCAGAGATAATAACAATTTAATTTTTTAGATTGTAAGAATTTTTGTCAGAGATAAGTTTAGTGCTTTACCCATCTATGTGTAAATAGAAGGGCAGACCGATTTATATAGCCTTGGATGGCAACAGGTCCACCGCAGAAAGAAATGGTAACATACTGCGGAAAAAAAAATCTGCCTCGTCAGTCATGTATTGAAAGATACATGATCCCTACGCGTGTATCACGCATGGCACCTAACTGACTGACTGATACCAATCTTAATAATTAACACCGAGCCGGAGAGGGCGAAGAGGTGAGTTCATACATTTCCCAAGGATATTTTGCACGTAACCGAATAGAATAAACCCGACAGATATTGAAACTCGGCTCTCTGATTAACAATTCCGAACCATTTTTCGTTACAACACTCGCACGTCCGAGCTTACATCACCTTTTAAACCCAGGCAGTTGCTCATCTAGGCATTGACGAGGCACGGCATTGTTCAACTTCGGCGAACCGGTGTTTTATTGTGACGTGGCCGTAAGCCTGTTGGCTAATGCGATTATTATTGTGAAAATATTGACTTGCATAATGAAATCACATATAGCAAATTGTTGCCCTCTCATTCAACAATCCGATTCTTAAACTATTTAGCTCTACCTGCAAATGTACTGAATAGTTAATCATAAGAAAAGATAAAAAAAAGGCGAAAGCCGAATTTCATCATTCCGCACCTGCAAATCTTCAAAAACTACAGAGACGAATGGCTGGTGGGGTGGAAATAATAATAATAATAATAATAATAATAATAATAATAATAATAATAATAATAAAATTGAAACAATAATTTTTTTTATTCAATTCTAAACGACTTCATTTCTATTTGATTTTTTTTCCTTGATAAAAGTTACTTTGAAAAACGGTGGCACGTGTGAACTGCAGCCAGATTCCTTTTCACTTTTGTCTCTATGAATGCAATGTATGGCTTTCTTCTTTCTAATTTGAAATGGCATGATGTTCTTTAACATAATTCTGGTGCCAAAGAAATGACATGTTTCGTGGCTTATTTAATACGGATAGTAGAGAAAGAACAGAAGCGGATGCACAAAAAGAATAGAACAAACTCAATATAAAAGTGTAGAATAGCGTTACATACACAAGCACAGGCACTCACACGCACGATTGCACACAGAGAAGTTCAGACAGGTCACAGCCTCTACACACGCTCAGAGACACACATACATTCCATATACACACTAGGATACAAAGACACATACACACAGCGACACAGACACACGATGAGAGACGCACAGACGTTACATACATACTCAGATACAAAGACGCATACAAAAGCGACACAGACACACACTCAGAGACACACAGACATCAGATACACACACTCAGATAAAAAACAACAACACATAAACAGTGACAGAGACACAGAGACATCATATACACACACTCAGATACAAAGACGCATACAACAGCGACACAGACACAAGCTCAAAGACACACAGGCGTCCCACATACACATTCAGATAAAAATAAAATAAAATCAGAGACACACATACATCTCCTGCACACACTCAGATACAAAGATACAAATACACCGCAACAGAGACACAAACGCACGCTCAGAGACACAGACGTCACATACACACATACACACATACAGATACAAATACACATGCAGCAACGAAACGACACACTCAGATATAGAGAGATATACACACACCAGCAAAGATACAGACACGCCTTCCGTGACAGGCAGGCATCCCATACACACACTCAAATTCAAAGACACATGCACACAACAACACAATCTCAGAGACACACAGATTTCCCATACACACTCTCAAATACAAAAACACATATACGCAGCAACACAGACACTTAGATATACATACATACACGCATACACAGATATATACGCCCACACTGTCAAATACGTACGTAGTCATACATTTACACACTCACATACACAGAGACACGGATACAGAGCAGGTCATCAACAAACACACTTGAAGTCATACAGACACTCCAACACAGAGACTCAGAGAGAGAATGGCACACATTAATGTACGCACAACTACGCAAATTCTTTCTCTCTCACGCACACTGAATCATAAACACACACACAGTCAAACAAACTCTCACACACGTTATTCTTTATTGATCTGCCGTGTTGCCCAATGAAGTGAACGTTGATGGCTCTCCATATTTTCCGTCTCTTGTAGCTCTAAGCAATGTTTCCAACACTTTGTCTAAGAACATTTATACATTCAACTGTTTCTTTCCGTCGCATTTCCTTTTAATATGCCCTGTGAGTGTTGGATTTGCCAAGCCTTCTTAGTGATTTCAAGTATAAGTTTTAGTTGTTATTTTCTTCAAACATGCCTCGTTATCCAATGAACAAATCAAATAATTAAACCCTAAAAAATACAGAAAAACATGGTGGAGCAGTGGATAGCGGCTTGGATTGAGGAATCGCAGAGCCGAGTTCGAATTCCAGTCGAATCCATTACATTCACTTACGTGCTAATACCCTTGGGAAAGGTATGTATCCTCTTCATCGCCCTCCAGCTATGGGTAAAATAGTAGGACAGACTGGGTTCTATAGCCTTGGGTGGCAACTGGTCTTGGAGAAGGACAACTCTGAATTCAAAACCTGCGGAGGGTCGTTTGGGAACCTTGTGGCATGCATTCGGTGCACCAGGTTTCTGTATTCGTCCCTCCAAAAAGTGTGGCTGGTCCTGCACGAGGCCTTCACCACTATAATCAAATCGGTGTCGGGATGTCGGTTTCCTGGGGACATATCGGCCTGACCCTCATACGTCGAACGCGACAGGAGAGTCGATTATATATATATATATATATACGATTCGAACAGTTAGAATCGCCGACGCTCATGCGATATAAATATTAGAGAATGAATAAAAAATCTAACTAAAATGACATGGAATAATTAAATAAAAATAAAAATAGAAGAAGTTACAAATTGACAGGGAAAAGCGAAAAGGAAAAGTAGGATATTTAAAAAAATCTCAATTGTTTTTTTGTTTGTTTCGGGTCACATATATTCTTTTTATGTGCCATATCCTTTCAAGACGTAGGCGATCATGGCTCTCCACTTCCCTCTATCCCTTGCAGCTCCCAACAAGTTCCTTCCCTCTGCTTCTTCTCCCAGACCACGTTCTGTCATCCACTTGCTTAAGCCCGCAAGGTACGTCACGCGTTGTTATCCCTTGTCTCTTTTCCCCTCTATTCGAGTCGTGAGCATCAGGCCCTCAAGGCCGTCCTTCCTCATTATGTGTTCCAAAAGCGTCAGCTGCCTCTTCCTGATATTGATTATCTCCTGCTTGTTTGCATCCACTCTAAGAATTCATCGTTGCTCACACGCTTGGTCTATGATATCCTTAGCATCCTTCTGTAGAACCACATCTCCGTCGCCTCGGGTCTCTTCTTCATCTTTGAGGAAATCGTCCAACATTCGCTGCCGTAAAGAAAAACAGATGTCACGTAATAGCTCAGTATTATTTTCTTTGTGACCAAAGACATCCTCCTGTCTTGGAATACTCTGCCCAGCTTTTGGAATGCGTCCTTGGCCATTCCAATACGTCTACGGATCTCAGTGTCGCACTTACCGTCCTCTGTCAAGACGCTTCCCAGATATTTAAACTTCCGCGTCTGCTTGATTCTATTGTCCTCGCTCTGCAAATCGCATTTCGGGATCATCCTTTTACTGATGATCAAGCATTCCGTATTCTTGTAGTAATGCTTAGTCATTTCTTCTCACTCTCCGTTGTCCTTTATAAAATTGAAATCTCATTCCATGTGGAAAAGATGGTATAATGTGTAACTTTGAGATTTAAGAGGAAAAGTATCATTTTAAAAAGACCAAAAAAATGAAGAAATAAATAAGAGGTAAAATGTAGAAATTGAGAAGAATAAGAAAAGAAAAAAAGAACAAAAAAAAGAAAGTAAAATAGAAAAAGAAAAATCATGAAAATGTCGATTGTTAAAAATAGAGAAAGAAACAAAAAGTAAGAAGGTATTAAAAGGAAAAATGAGAGAAAGAAGGATGATAAAAAATAAGTGGAAGAAGAAAAGGGAGAAAAAATAGCGAAAGAAAGAGGAACGTATTAAGGTGGAACAGTTAGAAAAGAGATAAGCATGAAAAGGAAACTGATAAAAATGAAAGATAAAAAGAAAGAAAGAATGAAAAAAGAAGGACTTTATAATATGAAACTTAGAGATTTAAGAGAAAAGGAGATCATTTTAAAAAGCGAGAAAGAATAATGCCGTAAAGGACAAATGTCACGTAACAGCTCAGTATTCTTTTCTTTGTAAACACAGAAATCCTCCTGACTTGCAATACTCTGCCCAGCTTTTGGAACGTGTCCTTGGCCATCCCAATACATCTACGGAGCTCAGTGTCATACTTACCGTCCTCTGTCAAGACGCTTCCCAGAAATTTAAACTTCCGCTTCTGCTTGATTCTATTGTTCTCGACCTGCAAATCTTATTCTCTGCTCATCCTTTTACTGATGACCATGAATTCCGTCTTCTTGTCGTCATGCTTAGACCTTTCTTCTCACTCTCCATTGTAAGTTACAAAATTGAGATCTCACTCCATGTGGAAAAGATGGTACAATGTGTAACTTTGAGATTTAAGAGGAAAAGGATCATTTTAAAAAAAGACAAAAGGAATGAAGAAATAAATAAGAGGAAAAACGTAGAAATTGTAAAGAAGAAATGAAAGCGTAAAAAGACACGGAAGAAAAAAAAAATGAAGTAAAATAGAAAAAAAAAATCATGAAAATGTCGATTGTTAAAAACAGAGAAAGAAACAGAAAGTAAGAAAGTATTAAAAGGAAAAGAAGCGAGAGAAAGAATGGTGATAAAAATAAGGGGAAGAAGAAAAGGAAGAAAAAAGAGCGAAAGAAACTGGAACGAAAAAAGGGGGAACAGTTAGGAAAGAGATAAGCATGAAAAGGAAACTGATAAAAAAGAAAAAAAGAAAGAACGAATAAAGGACAGTATAATATGGAACTTTGAGATTTAAAAGAAAAAAGGGATCATTATAAAAAGAGAGAAAGAATAATTAAATAAGAACATTGAAGAAATTGTGAATAGCAACAAAAGAAAGAAAAAAGAAAGAAAGAAAATGAAATAAAAGAGAAAACGAAAAAACATAAAAATGACACCTGATCAAAAAAAAAAAAATAGAAAAAAGAAACAAAAAATAAGGAAGTAATAAAATTAAACCCAGAAGGAAAAAAAAGAAGGAAAACAAGAGAAAGAAAGAGAATAAAAACGACTGGAAAAAGAAAAAGAAGATAAAAGAGAGAAAAAACAAGGACGAGATAAGGAAAGACAAGCAAACTCTAAAAGAGATAATCATGAAAAGGAACCTCATAATGAAGAAAGAAAGAAAGAAAGATAGATAGATAGATAGATAGATAGATAGATAGATAGATAGAAATAAAGTAAGAAAGAAAGATAAATAAATAGATAGAAATAAATAAATAAATAAAGAAAGAAAGATAGAAAGAAAAAAGATACATACATAGATAGATAGATAGATAGATAGATAGAAAGAAATAAAGAAAGAGAGAGAGAAATAAATAAATAAATAATAAAAAACAAATTGTCAAAAAAAAAAGGAAAAAAAGAAAGGTAATAAATAGATAGCGAGGTGATTCCTTGGTTTTTCTAAATTCCCATTTAAGTAACGACAGCTATTAATAGAATAATAAATAAAGTTCTTCAGGGAATATGGTCTGTACTTGCTGCAACATGTTTTGGATTTTTTGGAGATATGTTGCAAAAGGGATTTTGTTGATTTGTTGTTGAGTTCCTTTCTGTATCTGACCCAAAGCTTCAACCACAAATGAGACAGATTTAGTTTTTTTCTATTTCCATTTACAGGTGTTTCCATTGACTTAGACAGGTTAATCAATATGTAAACATTTCTCTTTCCTCTTCTCTGATAATAGTGGGACAATTTGATTCTATTATTATTATTATTATTATTATTATTTGTCTATATTTCTGAAATGAGGAATTATGTACACAATTTACATTATTCGGACTATTGTCCTCATTTTTGTTGCCATATTTATCACAACGTTTCGGCCTTTCAGTATCTGTCTATATTTATGTGATGACTATTTTATATTCACTATTTACACTATTCGGACTATTGTCCTCATTTTTGTTGCCATATTTATGACAACGTTTCGGCCTTTGAACGCCCCGGCCTTCTTCAGGTCGTTGGCATGTGGAACTGAACCCTTTAATTCGCTCGGTTGGGTAGACTGTTCTAGTTCCACGTGTTATGTCTAATGGGTGTCAGTTATCAGTTATCTCCTGTTAATTCACCTCTCCAAGTTCTCCACCGCCTTAACCGGGTATTGAATTCACATAGAAATGAATACAATATGGAAACCAGTAATAAGGAGTGCCAGAGAAAAGCAATGATAACAACGAAAATTGCAATATGAGAACTTAAAAAAAAGATTGCTGAAGACATTAAGTTTATAAATCCCAGTAGTTTATACACAAATCTCCTTGAGGACACATGTACAGTGTAACCCGGATATAAGAGACCCGGATATAAGAGAAACCCGGATATAAGAGAGATTTTCTCTGGTCCCAAAGTGTTCCCATACTTACCTAAAAAAAAGACCAAACCCGGATATAAGAGAAACCCGGATATAAGAGACTTCTTATCCGGTCCCGACAACTCTCTTATATCCGGGTTACACTGTATAAAGGTGTAGGTTGAATCCAGTGTCAGGACACAAAGAGTGTGTATGTATTGCTGGTAATATTTTTTTCAAAAACGTATTGCTGGTAATATTTTTTCCAAAAACGTATTGCTGGTAATAATTTTTTCAAAAACGTATTGCTGGTAATATTTGTTTCAAAAACGTATTGCTGGTAATATTTTTTTCAAAAACGTATTGCTGGTAATATTTTTTCCAAAAACGTATTGCTGGTAATATTTGTTTCAAAAACGTATTGCTGGTGCTATTTTTTTTCAAAAATCTATTACTGCTAATTATTTGTTTTTCTTCAAAATTTAGTACTGGTAATAAATTTTTACAAAGTATTTCTGGTATTAAAATCTGTTTTTACACTTTCATAGTGTTTTGACTCCAGTTTCGGGGTTGACTATTTGCTCATAGCTGGGACTACCACCCCGGGTCAGAATGGACCTGGGATAACCAGTAATTAAGAGGTGGTTCTACACTCTTCAACACCTTCTGATGAGGGGCCTTGCTGTTGGACGTAGTTTATCGTCTTACACAGGACGCGAATGCAATTTATCGTCATACCCGTGACGGATTAAGTTGCATAAAATATTCATTTTAAATAAAGAAACTATAGCCGAAATGTTATGTAATATCGTTCCTTCTATATGGCAGTGAATGCTGGACAGTCGCCTCACAGATGAAGGAGATACGTAAGTCAACAAAGATGTGGTTCTACAGAAGGAAGCTGAGAATGACATAGACCGAAAAACGACGAAGTTTCAGAGAAAATGGAAGCAGACGAAACTTCTAGAGCCTGTAATAAGGATAGAAGGTTTAGCAAATTTGACACTTACGGAAGGTAGTGTAATTCAAGATGGACAGAGGAAAACAGTACATGACCTACCTATCGAGATTGTGAAAACTTTTGGTAGAACAGAATTTAGGTGATCGACCTCCTACTTCGATAATTCCTATTGCAGACGCTTGCTCAGGCACATGTGTGTTTATTCAACACTCACAGAACGCACCTGTAGTTTATACGGCAACTACGCTGAGCAGGCCTTAGTTACAATTTCTGGTAAAGAGCCTGTTACCTAGAGTGATCAAGAATTTGAACAAGACCAGCACGCTCAAGCCCTCGGCAACGATAATTTGTTACTTCGTGATAGCAAAGCTATCGACGGCCCCCAAGAATTCTGTCTACCGAATTTCACTCACAAGTCTTGGGGCAAACCGTATTTTGGTTTTCAGACACTTTCCAAATTATCAGTATCGATTCCATCGAGTACCATAATCGCTAATTTTATGAGATTAATGTTTCTTAAATTTACTTTTATAAATAGTATATAAGCGTTCTCCCTACATATGTCTTAATGAAATCAGAAAGATTAACATGTGACATTTATTCCGTTATCTTTGGGAACTCATTAGTGAAGGTGATGAAACAGAAAGCATGTTTGTGCCAAGAAGACAAAATACAATGACGTTAAATGTTCAAAGAATAGAAATAAAGGAAAGTTTTATATATATATATATATATATATATATATATATATATATATATATATATATATATATATATATATGCTCATTAAGGAATTATATTCCAGATAAATCAAAATCCGTGAATAATTATATAGGCCACACTACAATATGTTTTACACGCAGACTCACTATACACCTTTCTGATCATAGCTCATAAGATCTCATTTAAATATCAATGGAGACCTACTGAAGCCTATTCGTAACATACTTGTTGATAACACAAATATAATAGCATCATCTTCATGAAAAAAAGGCTAAAAATGTATCTATGCAATTTTTTATATATATTATTTATATATTATATATGCGCGGTACTTATTGGAAAGCGCTCAATATCAGTGATTGAGCTAACATAGTTGGATTGATGTGAGTTTGCCACCCTGGGTCTCACGGTCAGAAACACACAGACACACACACACACACACACACACACACACACACACACACGCACACACACACACACACACATATATATATATATATATATATATATATATTATCGTGCTTCAACCAATTTCATCTGTCAGTGTGGCTTTGTCTCCCGCAATAAGGCTGAGCTAGTATCGCGCTTAAGAAAGCACAAATGAATTATGACGCACCATCCACTGCGGCCCTTCATTTATCGTTCACAATAGGAGACTCTATTTTATATATATATATATATATATATATATATATATATATATATATATTATGACTTGCGACCGGTTTATATCACTTAGGAAATCTTAAGGTATATTTATTTACTAAATATATCAATTAATTTAAACGAAAGGTTTCGTAATGCAGGTATCATCTTTTTTATTGTTTTTCATCACGTGCAATTTCACGGTTGATATTTGAAATCGATCATTTGCAATGATAGATAGATAGATAGATAGATAGATAGATAGATAGATAGATAGATAGATAGATAGATATTAATACTTATATCTATGTATGTATGTGTGTATGTATCTATATATTGTTAACTTTGAAGTAGAACTGTGTTCAATTCTGAATTAGAAGTTTTGTAGTTATAAATAGCGTAGCAATTCTAAGTCGTGTAGTTAAATCTCTCTCTGTTCCTCTCTCTATCTTTATATATATATATATATATATATATATATATATATATATATGTGTGTGTGTGTGTGTGTGTGTGTGTGTGTATATCTATGTGTGTGTCTGCGTGTGCGTGTGTGTGTATGACAAGGTAGGAAAAGACAAAATCAATAAGCTTTAAATTTTCCCTAGTAAAAACAATATAACTAGCTTAAGAATTTTTTGGTATTATCTTTCGATCCTCCCAGGAAAAACGTTAACAAAGGAACTGAATAAAGGATGAAAGGTATTTCATCTTTAAAAAAGTTGTCATTCCACCTGTCATTCCTGACTTCTAGAAAACTTACATCATATCAAAAAGATGAAATTATCATTATCTAACTCCATGAGTACTTTTGAAAATGAAATAAAAAAAGAAAAAAAAAGAAAACTGTGAATTTATTCACAAGAAAGTCTTAACCCTCGCGTGTAAATGGAAGGTAAAAACATTATTTGCCCCAAATAAAATCACGCATTGGTCCAAAGATACCTTATTTCTAGCCAATACACCGAAATAGTATTTGGAAATACAAAACGCACAATGTTAATAATGCACAAAGGAAAAAAAACTCATGAAAATATAATCAATGAAGATTTAGTGATATTCTGAAGACTTTGACTAGAAAAAAACGAGTTTGTTCATTTTGCTTTGGATGGAGATTCAGCAAAAGAGTGTATGATGAAAAAAAGATTGGTATACCATAAAAGAAATAAGATAAAACGAAATTATATATATATATATATATATATATATATATATATATATATATATATATATTCTTAAACTAAAAATAGACAATACCTAGTTAGAAAAAAGGACTATCAATTTCTTCAATAGACTAAAGAAAAAATGCAAATGAATTATGAATAAGAAGACAAAATGTGTGAAAACAATAACCTCCCCCCACCCCGAGAAATGACAAAGCCAAACATTAACTTAGAATGGACGAATTAATTAATATTATATTTTTTGGTCAGGGCGACTATAAATTGAGTGGCAATATCACCCCCAGTGCATGGAAAATATTAAAGTAAAATATGTGCATATTAAAAAGAGAAATAAAAAGAAAACAATTCTCTTGAGTTTTCTAAAACAAGAATGGAAACTAGATGATATACCGAGTGAGGCAAAAGTCGTGCACTATACGGGTTAATGAATAGGGAGACGGGGTACTGTACCGTGGTCACCGTGGTCACCAGAGCCTTGGATTTTTTTCTATTAAATCATTTGAAATCAGTTGTTTATCAGATGCGACCAAGATATATTGAGGAACTTAAAGAAAGAATGGTATATATATGCCGTAAAATGACAGAGGAAACTTTTCGATGTTTTAATGAATCAATCCAGGCACAGAATTAAGATGTGCTTTGAAAATGGAAGACATTTTGAATAGCACATGTGACAATTAAATAACTAGTTAACAAAACTTTCTTGTGTAATTATACTTTTAATAAATTTTCCCAACGGTGCGCGACTTTTGCCACACCCAGTATATTGTTATTTGATGTAATGTTTATCAGTTTTAAGGTATGGGATTTAATTGCTTCTTTTATTAAGAATTTCTTTATAGTATAGAATAATATAAATATACGTACATAGATACACGCCTATATATATATATATATATATATATATATATATATATATATATATATATATATATATATATCTTCATGCTAGATGCAATCGTCAGGCCACGACTTTATATATTTAAGCTATATTTCGTCATATATATATATATATATATATATATATATATGAAGAAATATTGTTCTAAGGTGTGCTATATTTATGGGTTAAAGTGCTCAATATCAGAGATAGAGCGTATGTAAATATAAATTAGACGTAAAAATAGCTATAACTGCTATATATAGATAAAATAGGATCACTACGTTACTAAAAAATCGAAAGCCAAATAGAATAAATAAAAATATACAAAATAAAAACTAAGTAAATAAATAAACTAATAAAAAATAATCTCAATACATAAGTAAATGAACAAATTAACAAATCGACCCTGCGAAAATAACCGTAAGAATATGCATAAATAAGCAAAAACAAGTAAACATAATCAATCCAAATAAACAAATTAAAAACTGTCTGCCCGCCAAAATAAGAGAATAGACTACGGCAAGCAATCAAAACATTGGACGAATAAATAACTTTAATTATCTTCCCAGACAAAAACAAACTATTAAATAAGCGACCTAAGCATATCCCCCCTCCAAAATTGTTTTACTCATAAAACATTAAAAAACAAAAAAATAATACTAAATGAAAATGAAAAACAAGTAAAATAAATTAACTCAAACAAAAAAATAAATAAATAAACAAACAAGACACTCCCGTAAAAAATAATCCCCAGAATAGATTACCCACAATGTTACCACTGACCCGTATATATAAATAGCCGAGGAAAAATCCAGCATTCACGGTCTGATGATGCTCCAAACCGTTCAACCGTTGAACTTTGCTTTCAGCAGAGAGGAACCCGGATGAAGCTTAGCCGATTTAACAGGTTTCACTTTTATTAAAGCTTCGTCAGAGATTGAGAGAAAGCAAAAAGAAACTCTGCTATTTTCAATTATGTTTGGGCCCGTTCTCATTGTTGGTACACATATCACGTGCATTAAAACCTTAGGTAACTTTATGTGTTTGTAATTTTGTGAAGATTCTTCTATGTCTAAGTGGGCATGGGATGGCAATGTGTATTTGGTATAGTGGGAGTTAGTTCATACGTCTTCACCTATGTGCAATCATCCCGCGCAGCCGAGTGTTACATCGTTCTAATTTATGGCTGACCTCTTTAAGCATGTATTCTTTTTATTAAATAGATATAAGTTAGATTCATTAAAAAGGAATACAAAGAAAGATGGCGGAGTAATGTAATGTTTTAGGCGCTTGTTTATATATTTCGAAATAATTTTATTATTAAGCTTTTAATGTATTTTTTCTTTAAAGAAATATGTGCTTGAAATATGCTTTAAAAAGGAAAAGGAGACTTTGAACAGAATATATATTAAATTAAATAAGTGGTAAATGAAATTTCCATGTGTAATTTTACCTGAACCTGTATATGACTTTAAATCAACGAATCGAACAGCGTCCTGGGTTAGACGATAAACTACATCCGACAGCAAGGTCTCTGATCAGGAGGTTTTGAGGAGCGTGGAACCACCTCTTATTTGCTGGTGTTCCCAGGTCCACCCTCACCCGGGGTGGTAGAACCTGTTAGGGTCCAAGCTAGGGTCAAATAGTTAACCCCCCCAAAAAATGGGGTTAAACGACTATGAAAGTGTAAAAATAGGTTTTAATACCAGAAATATTTTGTAAAAAAATTATTACCAGAAATGCATTTAAAAAAAAAGAAGATGTTACCAGCTATACTTTTTTGAAAAAAGAAATTACAAGCGATACATTTTTGAAGAAAAAATAATAACAGAAATAGATTTTTGAAGGAAAAAAATATTTACCAGCAGTACATTTGAAAAAAAAAATAATTCCAGCAATAAAAATCTTGTCGGCATTAAATAACACATTGATGTTGATATGCCGTAAAACAAAGCAAACCAAACCAAACCAACGAATCGACAAGGAAACATAATGTGGAAAATTAAAATCTAATGATAAGTGTATTCGGATGAACAATATTTAAAAAATCAAAACAAAACATCATAGAAGACACATTACTCTTCTTCTCTATGTGCCATATTCACTCAGGACAAAAGCGATCATAGCTCTCCACAACATCCTGTCCTTTGAAGCTCTTAATAAACTTTGTCTTTCTGTTGTTTCTCCTAAGCTTTGTTCCACCATCCATTTAGTTAAATTCTTTAAGTAAGTTATACATTGTTTACCTCTGTTCCTATTGCTCTATATCAGCCTCTTGCGTATCAGATTTTCCAAGCCATCCTTCCTCATTAGATGCCCTAGAAACCTATTATGATGTTGATTTGGGGTTAGTAGAGACAATCGCCAAATAACACGTAACAATAAAAAGGGTTTTAATAGGTTGGTAAAAAGGTACAGAAATCGCCTGAGTAGTCAATAACTAGCTCAGCTAAGAACTTCTCGGTCTATCTGTCTTGGTATTTATCGATCCACCCACGAGAACCGAATATGGCACAAGGCCGGTTTTAATGTGGGTATTCCCGAGCCCGTAGGCTCGGCCAAAAATATAGCCTTTGAACCCGCCTAGACGGATTCAGGCCCTGTCTACCTCGTCCGGGTTCCTCTCTGCTAAAGCAGAGAGTTCGACAGACGTCGCTTACAGTCAAAGACTGTATCACGAATCAGCTAGACTCGGAGTTCTTACCCTCTCGGTCTATCTGTCTTCTTTCCATGTCAACTGACATGCGACTATTTAAAGTCTTTGTTCACAGACGCAGACAAGTTCATCTTCAAGAGGGGTGGTAGGTTTCCGACACAACATCTTCCCCTTGAGATTAATTCCGGAGGAATTAATATCTTTTTCTTTTGGGATCTGGACTTAAACGTTCCACCCTAGTTCTTTTTCTTTTGCTTGTCCTTCTTTGGACAACTGTTTCAGGCAATGGTGGAGTTGGTATATCGAATAAATCATATAATATCTCCATTGGTTCTTCATTTTCTTTACTTATTTCTTCAATGATTCTTTTCCTTAATTGGTTCAAATGTCTTTTGTGCGTCCATTTTTTACTTCTTATCATGTATAACATCTTACCAAAACCTCAACTTACTCTTCCTGATGTTAAGTAATAGTTTCTTTTTTGTTTCTATTTTCTCCAAAATTTCGTCGTTTCTCATCTTTTTGGTCAACGGTGTCTTCAGTATTCTTCTTTACAAGATATATATGTTATTTCAAATTTCCTCTTCATCTTTGATGAGATCGTTCCTGCCACACAGGATGACAGATATCATTTAGCAGTTTATGAACTCTTTTTTTTTGTTTCTAGCGAAAGTTTTCTAAAAGAGACTAAAACTATTTCAAGATACGAACACATTCTACCTACGTAAAGATTCAACCAATGAGAAATTATAAAATATTTCATAACAGTTTAAGTAATCATAGTATTTCACTCCATTAACGCACAAAAACTGTTGGTTGGTGTGTTTTTTTTTATTATTATTTAGCTGCATATTGGTTATTTAATGTAGAAATCTAAATATCTTACAAGCAATATTATTTCTGTTTGTTTTTTGGGATACTAATAATTTCAGTGATAGAAGCCATACTAATTAAACCATATATGGCTATTAGAGCCTATGTGAATATTTCGAACCCAATCTTAATTAGAACTCGATTCTCCGATTTACAATTCCAGCACCAACCGCACATTCAAGCTTATATTACTTGGTATTCCCAAGGGATCACCCATCTAGATATTGACCAGGTTCGATGTTACTTAACTTTGGTGATTGTATGGGAACCAGTGTTTCAACTTGATCTGGCCGTAAGCATGGACATTAGTTGGTTATAGGCAGTGGTGGCATCCTATCGATTCGCACCGCTTCTCGTTAGCCGTTTCTTAAAATTATGAAATATCAGCGAATCGGTTGTTAGATTATCCGAAAATAATCTTATATATTAATAGCCGATTGTCTAGATAAATGTCAGTTACACTACGCTCGTGTGCGCGCGTTTAGTGAACCTTTAATAGACACATGCCCTCTATCAAAACAAAAAACAGCATTCAGCGGGGAATAACAGAAGAAATGAAAAGACATAGATTACGGTAGATATGTAGAAAATATAGGCGATACAGAAAGATTTTTGGACGGCAGCGATTCATTTCGAATGTGGTTAAGAAATCATAACACAGCGGACGACACAAGTGTCAGAAAGCATCTTACATTTGAACAGAAATATGATGAAAACAGAATTTCAATCTGGAAATATCTGATATAAATAAATGTTTTTCTATTAAATTATCAAAATGATTTAATTCTTTTTGATAATATAAAATGTTTTTTTACATCCTCAGATTGAAATTAATATACGCAGAATAGATTCCTTAAAATTACCTGTCTTTATAGAACCGGTTGCTGGAGGTTTGGCATGTCATTTTTGTTATAGGTAAGAAGCTATAATTAACCCTGCATGTTAAGCTATAATTAGTACCAGATTCCTATATTTAGGTTCATAAGTAATAAGTAATTTAATGGTGGGCACTAATTTCTTAAACATTTTGACTTATAGATGTGGCTTAGTTGAATTTCTATTACAGTGACTTAAACGTTCTTTTTTTGAAATGTTTCATTTCTTTTGTATTACTCATCAGAATATAGTGTAATGAGAACAAGATATTAATTTAAAATTAGACAAAAAATATATATATGCCTGCTGAAAACTTTCCATTTACGATAATTATTACTTGCAGACTATTTATATCATCCGAAAAATCATCGTTGTTTTGTTTTTTTACCAAATATATATCAAAATATTCAATTGAATTATTTCGTATAAATCGAAGCAGCAAATACTTGTCACGTTTGTTGGCTGATTTTGTTTAGCGATATATCAAGCTCTCTGGGTCATTTAATGCCGAAATCTAATTATTTGGAACAAAATTTTATGGGTTTAACTAGATGTATTGTTTTGAGTTCTCTGCAAGGAAGGCCGTAGAGCCATAAAGTGGCCACTTGATGTAGAAGAATTAGAACCAGGAACATTACTAAGGATCAAGAACAAAACAAAAATAATCAGAAGTACGACAGATAGCGAGTGAAACGGTTTATACATTTTTGCAGATTAAAGTTGCCTGGAAAACATGGAGGCGGAAGGGAGTCCCACAAACGAGAATTACCAAACTGCAATTCTATGATTTAACTACAGATATTTTATATATAAATTAATACTTTCCGTTTTTGTTGTCGTTGCTGTTTTTGTTGTCTTGTGGCAGATCAACCCATATTGGTTATATAATGTCGGAACCTAAGCATGAAAATTCAAACTTTATTCAAGAGAATGATATTATTTCACAACGAGTGTTGTACTTCAGAGCCAAGTCAAGTGCAATTTGATGTGTTGAAAATGAAATCGAGGCTTTCCAGCCCTAGTTATATATACCTAAACACAACCAAACAAGCGTACACACACACACACACACACACACACACACACACACACACACACACACACACACACACACGTGTGTGTGTTTTCGTGTGTACTAATGCCTGTATGTGTTTGTGATTTTGTGCGTTCCAGTGTGTGCTGTCTGTCTATGTAAACAGACATGTAAAACATGTCTATTTATTTTAATCCTCTCAAATTCACGGATTAATTTCTTTATTTCCCTCTCCGTCCTATTATATTCAAACTCACCACTTTGTTTTATCTATTAACTAAAATCATTAACCACATCATCACACCATATATACATAATACTACGGCATTTTATCAACTCACGAACTAATCAAAATCTGATAATTTGAATACACTAGACATATTAAGCCTATTTATTTTTATTTTAATCCTTTCAAATTAACGGATCAATTTCTTAGTGCTGTTACAAAACGGAGTAAGAAAGACGCTGTAGTTTTGGTTAATTCTTTTATTTTTCCAAGTATCTCAATCTGATTCAAGATCATCTTCAGGGTGATTTGCTAAGACAAGAAATAAGTTTAAGCTATACTTGTGATTTTTTTTGTAGATGCTTGTGCACGCACACCGTTATACTTAATTTATGTTAAGTATATGTAAGGGAGGTAATTTAGTTTATTTTTATTATTATTAACGTTTTAGAAATACTCAACCTGCATTTTTTCGAAAACTTGCAAAAACTTGAAGAACAACAATTAATAAAAACAAAACCATAAATTCAGGACCTACTCAATGCTAAAGCACTAAAAGACAGACATGATAAAAGAAAAAAAAGCTCGTCTAAGCTCCTAACAAAACAATTAAAAATCGCTGCCAAGGAGCTGCGTAGCCATACCCATATAATTTATAAAAAAATCAGATAAAACCAATATTCCTGTTGTAATAATTAAATCCGATGAGAATTCAAAATTACAAAAATACTTGACGGCCACACCAAATTTTAAAAAGTCAATTAAAACAATATTAACCGACTGAAATTGAAAATCAACAAACTAATCAGAGCCAGCAATGCAGAACAAGACAATTTAAAATTTCTCAAAATAATTGGTGACTACAAACCAGGATGCATGTATGGAACTATCAAAACAATTTTACATGTATGGAAGAATAAAAATACATAAACCTAATTTCCCTCTCCGTCCAATCATATTCAAACTCGCCAATTCGGTTTATCTATTAATCAAAATAATTAACCACCTCGTTACACCATACAAACCTAATAAATATAGCATTATACCAACTCACGAACTAATCAAAATCTTAAAAACACAAAAACGTAATAACGAAAACATAGCCTCACTTGATGTTGAAATTTTATTTATCAATGTCCCAGTTAGAGAAACAATTGATATAATTATAAAGAATATTTTACAACAATCCATCTTTCCTTCCATTAGAAATTTCACTTAAAACATTCCAGAAACTACGCTTCATTTGTGCTACTGAGGTTCCCTTTTATGACAATCAAAATAATATATACTTACGTGTTGGCGTTATCATGGGTTCAATTCTAGGACCAACATTTAGTAACTTCTACATGGCTAACCTTACAAGTAAGATATTTAATACCACTAAAAACCTTCCATCTACCTAAGAAAAGTAGACAGTATCCTCATTTTAGTTAAACTCATAGACATGAATTACAAAAAAAAAAAAAAAACTTCCAAAAATGCTCCGTTTTTAAGTCCAAAAATGAACTTAACAATAACAAGAGAATTCTTTTTATTGATATATTGATAGCAACCAATAACAGTATATTTACTGCCTCTACACACCAAAAAACTCTTGAATAAACACTTGCACTCTAAACTATAAAATGAATGTCCTATTACACAATAGGGATTATACAAAATTTTATTAAACCGTGCAAAAGTTAACTCTTCCACGAAAAAAAATATTTCTACCCGGAATTAAAAAAAAATTAAAAAAACTCTCATTAATAATGACTTTCCTAATTACATCGTTGATGAAAAAATTAGACACGACCTTAGAAATAGTAACATAAACCAAAATGATTATAATACTTCTGTAAATAACCTCAACCATATCAACCTAACATGCCGCAATCAAATACACTATAAATACAAACTAGATGAAAATCCTAAAAATACTCATAAGTACTTATATAAATTTAAATGTACTTTGGCAGAATGTATCTCTGACAAAAACATAAATATATATGTTGGTTTCACAGTGACGAAACTATCAAGAAGGCTTACTTTACACATGTAAGATTCAAGTTCTGTTTCACAACATTTAAAAGAACATCCCTGTCCACATTAACGTTTTAGAGAAATATTAATCGACAATACAGGTATACTCCACCTTAAAAATAAAAATAAAAAAATTCAAATTCTCAAATAGATCTATATAAAAAAAATCTAAATAAAATTAATTATGAGTAGAGCAAAAAGTTGTTAAAATGTCTGTAAAATCAAATGTGTTCGGCGCGTAAAATTGTGAGAATCAATTTTTTTTTAAACTTTTCGAGAAAATGGCAGGTTGTGTATTTTTAAGACATTAAGTGTAAAAAAAAATTCACAAAGATACCACCCTTACATATCCTTAATATAAATTGACTATAACGTAGTGCATGCATGCGCATTCACAAAATAATCACAATCAGCAGTTACACTAATTGTTTATCTTAGTAATTTACCCCTGAAAAATAAACTTGGATGAGATTGAAAGTACCTGGAAAAATAAAAATAAATAACCAAAACGACAAATCCAAATTGATTCGTGAATTTGAGAGGAAGGAAATTAAAAATAAAAATATACTTAATATATCGAGGTTATTCAGCCAAACACGCCCCCACACAAATACATATATATATATATATATATATATATATATATATATATATATATGGATATTGATAATATTAGTGGTTAATATACATACATATGCAATCATGTATCTAAATAAATAAATATATATATATATATATATATATATATATATATATATATATATATATATATATATATATATATATATATATATATATATATATGTAAAAAAATAATTCCAAGAAGATAGAATCCAGGTAGAACTCAATGTCTAGGACAGAGTAAGTTTTTGAATTTGTAGGTCTGATGAATTGGATCATATTTACGATTCCAATGGAATAAATTATGAACATGGAATATTAATGTTTAAGCCTTTTTATATATATAGTTATGCAGAATTAGCAGAACTTTAAGGAGACGATTCTTCACTATCAGAGGATGTAAATAGCTTGACAATATAAATCAATTCTCTCGTGATTCGATATGTTAAAGAAGCTTTTAAATCATTTTATGATTTTTTCATGTCTCAGGGAATAAAAAGAATATGATAGATTGTTATTCCATTTTATATTTTATTGTAATATCCAGGGATTTTCCAGCAATATGACCTCCGTTCAGAATAAAATTATGAATATAAAATTAAACAAAAATTACTCAACAATGTATATCTTTGTTTCTTGTTGATCTCCTAACGACCTTTTGCAGTTCCGCATTCCGGTAGGAATACCGATTGAGAAACAGCAAACATGCATTATAAATTTCTGTCTCTGCCTGTCTGTTTCTTTGTCTCCCTCTTTCTCTCTCTCTCTCTCTCTCCCTCTTTATATAT